TCTCTATAAAATTTCCCACTTGCGCTTCCACTGATCTTGAGGAGTTCTGTAAGAGCCTGGATGTCTACACCAGTTCTTGGCTCTAATAAGTCTCCCTGGTTCTTTTTTTAAATGTCTGTTAGTCTTTCCAGTTAATTTATCAATAGCATGGGTAATAATGACAGGTAACATATGCTTGGTCCATATAATGTTTTGAAAATATATAAGCATAAATATAAATTTCCATAGCAGCATTAATAGAAACATACAATTTTTACTTCCATTATCACGCAGTAAGAAAAATGTCAGAGGTAATGCTTAAAATTGTAAATGATCGAGTGAAAAGTTCGCAATTATTTTTAATTTACTCTATTTCTTCTAAGTACAGTATAAAAATTACATCTGGTAAACAATACTGACAGATAAATTCTGTAACATACTGGAGGAATAAATAGCTGCATTCTATGCCCTCCTACTCTGTACTGCATACAGCTTGATTTTCAAGACAATTCAACATTGTTCTTGGAACAACTCTGATTATAAAGTGTTTGGGAAATCAGTTAGAAGAACAAAATGTACAGAAGTACAGCTTCAGTGGGTAAAGGCCTCATGGCGAACCGCTAAGATCCTAATAGTAATAAACATCTGTTAGAAACAGAAACATTTTGGGACAGTCTAATGATCCCTGTCTTAATGTTCAGAGATGTCAATTCCTAATGCTTCAAGTAAGACGTAAAACTGCTTGTAATGCTTATAATTGGGCAACACTGAAACAAGGGGGAGAAATTTGGCTTGTGCACAACTAGTAATAAGGTTATATTGAAGCATTGCCATCCTTTGTACTAATCTAGCAATAGAAGTTTACAGATACAGGGTCTTTACTCAGAGACAGTGGGATTTGCAAAAGTGCCTGTTTGATTAAGGAACACTAATCGCATCAGCTTGCAATAGCACTGATGCAGTGCAGTCACCAGATGCTCCTGCAAATCCTATCTGTAATTTGCTTCAGTAATACTCCATCGCCTGTCCAGCTGATCTGCCCCAATGCAAGGCTTTTAACAACGTTTCTCTTGCCTGATGAAATCTGTCTTACAGCCTGGTTACCTATTGGAAATAATGACACAGTTGGGAAGCAGAGAGATAGAACTGCCTCCAGTTCTGTTCCCCCACTGAAATTGCAGGTTTCTAAAACTGTCACTCTTGGTGCTCTTTTTAAAATAATGGTAATTCAGGGGTCAGCACTTAAGCACCCCAGCTACATAACATGTTAAGTTCTGCCAGAATTTATCTTCCTGAAAAAATGTCTGTTCGTCATTAATTTTTAATATTTGCTCTCTTCTTTAAAGAGGAGTTGCCACTGAGCTCATTGCTAACTGAGAGTTTGTTTCATTAACAGTGAGCTGTATGGAAAATGTAAATAATGTGTATGTATGTAGCATTAAATGTGCAGCATCCATCTCTCTGAAAGCACTATTTTGTGTAGTTGCACCATATTGAAAAAAAAAAAAAACAAAAAACCAAAAAAAAACAGGTCTTCCTGCTTGTTGGCTCTTTGTTTATTCCTCCTCCTTTGTTTATTAATGCCTCTTTATATGAAGTATGGCAAAGACAGTAGTAATTTCCTCTAGCATCTGTGGCATATGACAACTCTACCCAAGTCTCTATCCATAAAACATCCTTCACAGTGCCACCAGGTAATGTATGTGAATGACTATAACCTTTGTTGCTTGTGTTGATTTCTTAAAACAAAAGATGTGGCTTCTACCCCAAGTTGCTTTGCAAGCTGAAAAAAACCCCAATCAAGGAACAATCCCCAGAATCTTGTCAAGTCCAAGTACTGATGTTTCACTCCAAAATCAGATTTGGATTTTTATGCAGTTATCTCAATCATGTGAAGTCTTTCCTTTCCTCCCCTTACTCTTTCTGCCCTCTCAAGCAAACCAAATTCCCTAGTGTTAAAATGCAGGTGGTCTTTTCCAGCCATATTCTTTACCTCATTGAGCTGTTTACTACCTGCTCTCTTGACACTGCAACTTTGTCTTCCTTTGCTGTTCTCCACAGACCATCTTCTGTCTGATCCTGTACTAGAGAGATCTCACAGGATGTGTACATGGTCTCTGTTGCTCTGACCTGTGTGAGAGAGAAATCTCATAGCTTGTAGCTTTGCTGGAAGAGAATGTGTATATACATATATATATATACACATACAGAGTGTGTATGTATGGACTTCATATATACGCTACATACAAAATACATGTATGTATTTTACACCAAAAAACCTCAGGGAACCCAGAGAGAAAAATTCTCATGGATTAGCCAGCCTAGGAGAAGCTTCTTGACATGTGTGATGGTATAAGAAGTTTAGAAGTTGGTGCATATGCTCAGCCTTGCCCAACCTGGGCCCGTCAGAGCTGAATAGTTTAGTGCTTGTGTATTCATCAGTGCCAAGTGTGAACAGAATGTTTTCCGTGCATTAAATGTAGCCTTATTAAAAAGGAAAGGAGGGTATGTGTGCATTTGTAAGAGTAGAGAGAAATTCATCCAAATTTGGGGGAGAAGAGTAAAAATATTTTCTATTTGGAAAATGCTTGAAGTAAGTAATTGAACACATATAATTGCTATGCACTAAAAAGTCAAAGTGTTGTTCATGTGAAAATGTTGTTCTTCAATGTTGATATCAAGTGGGTACAGTAAAGAATTAGTCCCCAAATTTGTAAATGTTCAAGTTGCGGTTTAAGTTACTAACTTTTAATTAAGCTGAAAACAATGCAGTTGCTTGTCTCTGAAAGACAAAGATTTATGTTTATGACTTTCTGAAAAATTACAGTCACTACAGTACAGCAACTGTGGTGAGAAACAGTGAAATAACCCAAGTTCTCTGGAAAAATGCCATTGTTGATTAACTGCAATATATTTCAACTGTTTATAGATTTCTCACAGTTACCCAATAAGCACACTGGTTTCATTCTTCAGAGATTAACAATCTATCTTGTGTGTTCAGGTTCTTTCCAGCTTAGTACAGTGCTTCTTTTGAAGGATTTTTTTTCCTGAGTTGAACTTTAAGAACTCAGAGCACCTTATCACACTTTCACAAGCTCTCTCTCAGAGGAGAGAAGAGGGAGGAAAAAAAGCCCATCAAGGCGTGTGTCAGTTACATCCAAGCTCTCAGGGGATTTGTTTTTCTTTTGGCGTCAGATTAGATGTTCAAACCAAGCGGTGCTGTGGGACTCCGGGTGAGTGTCCACCAAACTCTTAATGAGGCTAATCCCGCGGCGGCACATTCCACACAGCTAATGGGTGCGGGGGCTTCACTCATGCTCACATCTCTGCGCTGCGGATGGACTGAGCGCCTTGTTCGAGGGGCGGTCGCAAATGTGTTGGTAGTGATGACCAGCAGCGGGGAAACGAGGACAGCAGAGTTTGCCCTGGGACACACTTAAACACCAAGTTTGATACTCAGGTAAAAAAGGAGAAAAAATGTTCTTGGTGGGTTTTTGCAGTGAGGTTAATAAAGAGAGAGACTTAACCTAGAGATCTCAGCTCTGAGTAAACTAAATCCAAGTATAAGTATGGCATGGACTTTAGGATTTAAAATTGCCTTGTGAAATAACACTGAAAGAATGTTTATGAAATAAGAGAAAGAGAAGATAAGCTTCATGCTTTACTATTCTTAAAAATACTTTGCTTTACTTTTCTAAACTTTTTACTACTTTACTATAAACAAGAGTTTAATGCAAACTGTTTTGTTTTGAATGTGTTGATTTCCTCAAGTTATTCTAATTTTGTTATGAAGACTCTACAGCAAGTAATATAATTTATTATACCTCTGAACCTTGTCTTTCATTGCAAATTATTGCTGTCACAGAAAGATAACTGGCACAAGGCAGTGAAACCAGATGCTTTCCTTTTTCTTTGGAAGGAATTATGAATTGTGTATTTTGGCATCATAACTCTGTTGGATAGGATAGTATATTTTTTGAGATCTAAAAACTAGAAAGCCTTTTTTTCTTACAAAGGACTTTTTAAATCAGACTATTATTTTTGTAATATTACATTTGAAGAGGTTCAAATGCAAATTATTATTGTTATGTTTAACATATCTGGGTTTCTTTTCTACCTGCAAAGACAGTATGAAAAAGAGTAGGAAAACAAATTCGAGATGTCAGTTTCTTGTACAAGCCTGCTTGTATACCTAAAGAAAAAAAATTTTAGTGAAGCACCTGTGATGGCACCTTTTTGTATTGGATCTTGAGGCTTAGAGAACATGAATTAGTGGCCATCTTCAGAAAAGATACATTAGATGTATGGAGTAAGTAAATTCACCAAGGTAAATTGTTCACAGAAATGTATACAAAATTTATGAAATTTCATAAAGGACATTTTTGGGAGTCTTGGCAACAGGAATGATAATCATATGCTATGTAAATTCTGGAGTAGGAGCTGGTTTTGGATGCCAGGAAGAAAAGTTGGCTTATAAAATATTTTCATGCTTTCTAGAGAAAATAAAGGCTATTGCAGGCATGTTTTTAGCATTAAAACAAACAAGCAGGAAGATACAACTGACATTATTCTGCAAGTGTTCCTTTTTTCTCAAAAAGTTACTGTATATGTATACACCAAAGGGAATTCATAAATCTGCAGCTTCTTATCAGTATTTATCTTCTTAAGAATATAGAAAGCTTGTGCTCTTGGAGCTCAAAGGCAAGAAATTTCAAGAATGTGTGGTTCACACAGTAAAGTATGTAGTTTAAAATGTTAGCGTTGCAATACCTGAACAATAGTTGTAACTTCTTTTCTTTCTCTACAACATCCAACAGAAAGAAAAATCCTAATTTTCCCACGTAGTTTGGCTTCAGAAGTTCTGCAGTAAGAGGGTCAGATAAAGTTCGCAAAGTTCACTCTGGATGCCTTGATAGTTCTAGGAAGTTAGTTTGTAAAAAGCCTTTATTTTCCTGAAGAGACTACTAAATTCAGAAATTACTCGATGATATATTAGACTTCTAAGCTGGCTTTACTGTACGATGCACAATGTTCTGATGATGATTATGGTGATGATTGTTATTATTACCTGCCTCATAGGCATGTAAGAATTCAGAAGTTATAATAAATTAGAACTTTTAGGTAAACTCTCCTATGTAAAGTGAAACTTTTTTAGAATTTTCAGAATTTCTATTTAACTGTCCTTTGCTTATACATGAAACAAACCTTGCCCTACAGTCTATTAAATTATCTAAAGCTCATTTCACATTACTTGTCTCAGATAACTTTGTCATAGTTCATAGTTTGTCGTTCTGTTTATGCTGTGCAATTAAATAGGTAATTTTATTATTTAATTACATTTTATAAAGTGTATCTGTTTGAATTGAATTTTTAAAGGAAAGTTTCAGCTCATCTCCTTATTAAATAAAATAACTGAATTCTGTTTGTGGAAATCTTTTTGAGAGCTTGCCAGAACTCATATTATATGGAGTGAGGACTGAACAGATAATTAAAAATATTTCAGAACTCTGAAAGTCCCTTGTTTGTTGTTTTGGGTTTTTTCCTTTCCTAGCTACCTATCTTTCTTTTTAAAAAGAACTCTTATTTATCTGAAATTAAGATTAAGCTGAAGGAAATTACTTGCTTTCCTGCAAATATGTGGGGAAGACCTCGGGTGTTATGAACAGGCATATCTTCACTGAACTCAGTTTTAGAGGTTACATCAGCTGTTCATCTGACTCTTCATGTATCAAAGTTTTTTGTGTCTCATTTCAGAAACAGATCTTCCTTTTTTTTTTATTAAGATACCTGCATATGAAACTATTTCCTGTCTCCATGTTAAACAGTACTCTCTGCTCTTGTATAAAATATTGCAGTGGAATCATGGTGTTATAAGTTTTATTGTGGAGATACTTTTTTTCTAGTTTCTATAATTTTTTAAAATTAGAGCTGACTTAATTGTGTTACTAAAACAGATATAGATTTTTTTTTTTAAAGCATTTTTAATTAATGGGTCTGTTTTTTCTCTAGCATGCAGAGAGCTTTACAGTTTGAACAAATTCTTCTCCAGTGCTTTCTGCTATGAGAATATAGATGACAGCATCAAAGTCATCTGGCTAGTGAATATGAAAATGATCTTGAGAGCTTGTGTTGGGTGCTTAGATTTAGAATGGAACCATAGTTCTAATGGAGAAAGTTTGCTCTGTGCAAAATGTGCACTGCATATCTGCAAAGTCAGTGAAAATTAATTTTATGTTTGAAGTTTCTCTTCAGTTGTACTATAAGTTGTGTTTAATAAGCAAATAGAGCTCATGGCATTTCCTTTCTCTTTTTTAGGCACAGAAATCATGGATAGAAAGGGCATTTTACAAGAGAGAATGTGTTCATATCATCCCCAGCACCAAAGACCCCCATAGGTAATTGCATGCTACTTGTACAAAAAATGAAAGTCAGTTATAAGAAAATGTCTATATATGTGTGTGCATATATATGTATATGGATATAAATAGTTTGTAAAGACTTATTTGATCAGAAGGTTAAATGTTCTTTAACTTCATTTTTTACATATTTAGAACAAAGCATGATTTTATTGAAATGTAGGAATCTCCAAGGTAAACAAGATCATAGAAAGGAAAGGTAATATCTATACTATGTTGCTTCCACAAGTAGAGGCTTCAAGTAACCAGAAAGTGGTCAGGAGAGTTGAAAAGGAGTCGTTTTTTGGGTTCTTTTGGAAGATTTATAGGCCATTTAAGATTTTGTTTCCCTGTTCACTTTATACGGGCACATGACATAAGTTTTCTGTTTATTTAATGACATAGGTGTTGCTGTGGGCGTCTAATAGGGCAACATGTTGGACTGACTCCAAGCATCTCCATTATTCAGAATGAGAAAAATGAAAGCAGACTTACTCGCAATGACATCCAGTCGGAGAAGTGGTCCATCAGCAAGCACACACAGCTCAGCCCAACGGATGCTTTTGGAACCATTGAGTTCCAAGGAGGAGGCCACTCCAATAAAGCCATGGTAACCATGTTTTTCTCTTAGATAAATACTGCTGCTAGCTCGAAAAAGGCATTCATAAAGAATAAACAGCATTCTTTCTTAACTTCATTTTAAAGTATTATTTAGTGTAAGACCATACCATATGTTTTTGTGTGTCACATGCCAAAGAACTGGTGAACAGAATTAACTGTAAACGTTGGAGTGCTGCATAACAGGGGCTACCTTTATGAAGGCTGAAGACATGCTACTGTGCTGCTATCTCGATTTTCTTCCAATGGCTAGCCATCCCCCTTTTTATGAATACCTTTAGAATTCAGCTATGGTTTCCCATTTCTGGGTGTGTCTGCAAGGATGACAAATTTGAAATATACCAAAGTTCTTTTAATATTCCTCCTGACTTATGTTGGAGGACAGACCAGTTAGTCTTATTGGTTCGTCTTTCAATGAAATAAGACGCCCAGTAAATGTCTACGCTAGGAACTGAGAAATCCCTACTCTGCCACAGATTTTGTTAAGCAAGCCACTTAATCATAATACAATGCTATGGAGCAATACCAAAGTATATTAATCTGAAGGTATTTCTCCACTGAGTTGGAGAGATGTTTCCAGCACCCACACTGACCCATGCATGTATTTCTTCTATGTGGCATTACACGAAAGGAAGAATCTCTCTGGTTCTATTTAAACTGCAGAACCTAAGACTTTGAGAATGAAAGTTAAGTGTGTACCCAGCACATCTTGGCCAAGACACTGCTTTTGGCAGCAGTGAGGATAGAAACAGAACCTCTGGGCGCTCTGCAGAATAACCTGCCCAGCAATCCTGTATCATCTTCTTTGCTTGAATTCTTCATAACAGGTCTCTCAGATCTGTCATGGTACTAGATGGATTAGAGACAGTAGAGAGCTCAGGTACCATCCTAGCAAAAGCCAGATATTTTCCTCAGATGGATACACAGGTGCTGGCTGGAGGTGGAATGTTTACTTAAGTGGATGGTTCTGTTCACCTAGATGGATGGCTTCTTTTGACAGAAACCAGAAAACACTGTTGCACAAGACACAGAAAGAAAATTAGGTCTGCATCACAGACGCCTTATGTTTAGTTGATAACCAATCACCTAAAAATCTGCAAGGCCATTGCTAGAGAGAGAGAGACTCTGATTCAGTGAACATGTTTAGTGTGAATAAATTGACACCTCCTTCAGCACTACAGTTCACAAAATGAACCAAACCATGCTGTTGGTATCTTCACAAGGAATGGGAACAAAACAGAATGCTTCTCACCAAAACTGAGAAAGATTCAGACATTCAGTAACCATCATGCTATTAACCTTACATGGATGCTTTGGGTTAAATCTGTCTTTGTAATCACTAGAGCTTTTTAGGGTCATGTCCTTGAAGATCACCATAAAACAATAAACTGCCCTGCCCAGACAAAAGTAGTCTTGGACAGCCAAGAAATGATTAAGAGTTTAGGAAGCTGTTGATACCAATTTCTCTAGAGGATTTCTGGTCTTTTTTGGGACTCTGGTGTCCTGGAGATGCTCCAAGTTATGTGCTATGTGCTCAATGAAATATACTTGTAGTGAAACTGTGGAGATAAAATTGAAAGCCAATATAAAGGAAAAAAAAAATTTTATCACAGAGTGCAGTCAGGAATGAAACTGTGAAGAATTTTTAAAAAGGAAGACAAAAAAGGGTTAAAAATCTGAGAGCCCTGAAAAACAAGTTAAACCTTAGGGTTGAATACAGACAAAATATTTATTGCTGGAAAAACTGCATTTATTTTGACAGTACTAGAATCAGGAAGATATTTGCATCTGCCATGTATTCATAGTCATTAAACCTCACCTAAAACATGGGAATAACCAAATTTTTGATGAATTAAATAAGTCTATAAAGGCTCCAGAAATCATCCCACTAGTGGGAAAAGTGCTTCAAATTAAACAATTAATTAAATATCTCTTTAATTGCTGTCCTGCTTGGTTAGCATCAATGAGAGAAAAAATGTCTTTCGTGTGACCAAAACACAACTAAAGAAGTCTAAGGAGGTTTGCATAACCAGAAGTTGTGCATTTTTTAACATGGAAACAAAATAAAGAGCTATGGTGTGTTTGTCACTGTAAACAGTATGAAGGTGTCCTTCTGGTCATATTTCTAGCCCCAAACATTATTTCAGGGTAGATTATAGCCAAAGAGCTGCATAACCAGTTATTGTCTTTTTATTAGTTGAAAGAATGAAACTCCTATCTCTGAATTTATTGGGTGCGAGGTCTTTCCCATAATAAATAAAGCTTACCAAATCAAAATTTGTTTGAAAGCCAAGAGTTTGCCCAGTCAAAGCAACCAAGCAATTTTGCCAGCAGAGGAGGGGAAAAAAAGAGCATTGAAATTGTCTTGAAAAATAATACTTTGAAAAATGAACAAGTACAACATAGTGCTTGATAACATTCTTGTTCACATAATATACTTTATTATCCCAAAGCAGAGAAGCTGGAACATCAAGACAGGCAGACAGAGAAAGAGAAAGAGAAAGAGAAAGAGAAAGAGAAAGAGAAAGAGAAGAAAGAGAAAAGGGAGAACACATTATAAATGGACATTTGTTTGTTACTAAAAATATGCTAGTTAGTTACTTTCTAGTTAGCAGATATCAAATATCACTATAGCATACAAGCTGATTTTTGCTGACAATCATGGTTGGTTAATATTGTACTGTCGTGGTACACCACATGTACCTGTTGACTAATACAATATAAAGCAGCAAGATTTAGCAACTTGATGAACATCAAGGAAAAATTCAGGGGAAGAATTTGGCATAAAATTCACCAGCTGTTCCTCACTTTATTTCCAGAAATTGGTTCCCACACATGAAAATTTTTAAGCAAAGAAAAGACAGAACTAAGCAGCATTGTCTTGGTCTGTGCTAACGGCAAAATTGGTAATTTTTTCTGAATCAGGCTACAAGGAATGAGATGGGATTTGTTAACGGAAACTGTAATCTCAGATTTATAATCGTGAAACTGGTAGTTAATTAATGGAACAGGTTAGTGTGCATAAGACTGACAGATAATTATTTCCTCCATTGTAAGTAACAGAATTAGATTTTAATAATATATATGCAAATTTGATGGTAAATATATGTATACTTTGCATGTATATTTGCAAGCTGTAAATGCAGTGATATAATATCATATCAGTTGCCACCAGACAATTAACAGTGGCATCTTTATCTGTGAAAATGAAAACTATACTGAAATTATAATAGAACACATGGATTTGGAACAAAACAGAAAAGATGATGTAGGTTTACATATTGACAATAAAAATTACTGTGCCGTTAATTTCACAGCCCCATATAACAAAAATTCTCAAACAACATGAACTTTGCTAATACCATTGAGTTGTTAAAGTATCTTCAGTGGGGCTGCACTAAGCTACTTAAATCAATAATGTGAATATTTGAAGGTGCAGCAGATTATATAGAAACATATAGCTGAGATTTGGTAACATTGGTTAACGAGATCAGTTACTGAAGAGGCTTTTCTTTCAGTCTTTATGTAACCACAGATGATCTTGCAACACCACTGTGGTTTTTAGATCTCTTGTTAATCTCATATTTTCTTTACAAGTCTCTCATCCCATTAATATTTAAGAAACACATTTAACAGTTTTGCTGTTCACTTTTACGTTGTTTTTACAGCAGATTTTCAGTTTTGACAACTGTAAAAAGGTCTGAGAAGAATGTGGAGATAGGTAAACTTTATTAACAGCTTCTGCAATAGAACAGTGGATTAAAAAAAAGATAGGAAAATTAATAAAATGGGATCTGTTTATATCAGTTAGCTCTTAGTATTTTAAGAAATAACATGGATGACTTAATCTACCTATATACTCATAATTTGTTATCCCAGCTCTTAGAGAAATTATCAAACCAATGTGAGTGATTCCATTCCAATTAGGAGCAATATTCTGAACAATTTCAAAACAGATTCTGGTTCTTAGTGGACCAGTTAAGACCATCTTGTTGTGATGTATTTTGCACTGAACTTGTGACCAAAGTAAAACGATTTTTTTAATTTGCTATCTGCCTTTCCATACACAAAAAAAAAACCTTAACATTCTTTCATCAGTTGGTGTGCCTAGATTTCATATCAACCTTTTTTAAAGGACTTCTCTTTACAGAACTGAAGTTTCTTTGATCATAGTTTTTCAAGGTTAGGTGAAAGACAGCTGTTTGAAAAGCTTTAGTGAGTTAAATATATTCCTCCTAACTGAATATGTTCCAATGATAAATTAAATATGCACAATAAAAAGCTAACATATATTTGCAGCTGTAGAAGAAGTAAAGTTTACTTCAGTGTTATAAGCTTAACCTTTCTTATGGTGCGTGGAAACATGAAAGAACACCAGTAGAATTCCAATGTACATAAACAGTTAGAGAGACTTTCTAATATTCAGATCTTCAAAACCTTACACTTTGTTAAGGACATTTGGAAATCAGCCAAGTAATAAGTTATATTTCTGCTTTTAAAATATATTGAGATTTATCAAAACTGTGTAAAAAGGATCTTAGAAGCCATTAGTGCTTTTGAGAGAAAAAAGATATAATCCTGTAACTTGGATAAACCGTGAAAAAGGCAGAAAACGTTTTTGTTACAGTAAACTAATACTGAAAGAACATATACAGAATTTAAAATATGGTGTCCTACATGGAGAAAAAGGGGAAATAACACAGAAACTCATCTATCCAGAGCCCATTTAAATCAATGTGAGTCCTTCCCCTGACTGTTTAGTGCAACTTGGCTGAGGCCTTAAGATGTTAAGAAAAATATTAACTTCTAAGGAACCAATGCTGTTTCATTCTAAGTGTCAGTTTTTCTGTTGAATTCAGTGAGAATTAGATCAGGCCTAATTTTATGTGAAGATCACACTTTAAGCGAACCAGTCTTGAAGAAGTGTCTGCAGTGATTGAATCTTGCTTAAGGTAGGTGAAATAACCACCCAGTACCTTCGTGCATCACAGAGAAATAAAGGAGCAACATTAGACTGCAGATCACAAAATGTTCTCTAAAAATAATTTCTTTGAAGAAATACAACGAAATTCTGAATCTTTCTGTTGTATTCACTGAGACTCTCATCTCCATTCATTTACCATGTACTTTAACGAAACAACTGTGCTTGAGTAACAGAGTAATAATTACCACTCGAACTTTGACTTTTGCCCAAGGGCATTGGAGTCCAACTTGCAAGCATCTGGGTGTTTGACTGATGCTTAGGAAACCACTTGACAAAAAGAGTGAAACAACTATTAGCGTCACATAGCACCCTTGCTGACTGCTTCTCTGCTAGTTTAGGGATCCAATGGGCATGACAGCTTGAACTTGATGATTTATCATTTCACAGTACTATGCTGATGTCAGTCAGGTCAGTCTGTAGTTTTTGTCGTTCAAAATTGTACTTTTGTTTCCTATCTTGCCCTGCTCAGCTGACACATAACAACTAAAGTCTTGCATCCTATCCGTACACCAGTCCCATAAAAAAGGGCTTAAATCATTTGCCATTAGAACTGAACACACCCCTTTTGTGTGCTAAAACTTTGACAGCCTTTGAATCCAAGTCAAAATTATTACCTTCACCATCTGATCAGTGGGACAGGGTACCATGCAATATTTTCTCAACTCCCATGCAGAAAATTGAATGGGTAGCTACTAAGGATGCAGTTCATGTGTATGTAAGCTCAAAGGTACCTTATGCTCTTGCCTGACAGGATATATTTGACATGGAATTTCAGGGTAACAGAACAGTGGTTTAGCTGAGATTTACATTTAAATTTTACATCTACCTCCAGAGGCTACAGAAAAGAATTGAGGAATAGCAGAAATGCTCATTAAGATTCGGGGGAAAAAAAAAAAAAAAAGAAAAGGCTGAGTATTCTGCTACAAGATTGAAAGAAATTAATTTTTAATATGGACAAAAATGGCCTTTAAAGTGTTTATTTATAATTTAATGCATACTTTGAAAGTTATGACAAAAGAATTCTCTTGTACTTACGAGTTAACATGTTAACATGTTAAGTAATGGCAAAAGAGTAATCCCAAGCATACCAAACTTGCCTCTGTAGGAGCAAAAATGAATCAGACAGTCATAAATATTGAGGTCTATGCACAGAAGAGAAATCATGATGTTTGGCACCATTGCCCTTCTCAAAAAACTTCTAAATCAGTAAAGTTTATCCATGATCATTTAAATTTTAATTTACATGAAAAAAACTTTCAGATTTTTTTTGCTTATGTTTCCTCTTTATAAAGTAAAATGAATTCTTATGGAGACGTTTTGCCCGCAGTATAAGTACTAAGTAGTTTTTAATAAAATATACCTGTATTACAAATAAATGTAAGAAAATATTGTAAGAAATTCAGAAGTCTTAGTGGATAAGAAAATAAAAGATATTTTTGCCAGTAAATACATGGGCTTAAGACGGAAGGGACAGTGAAATCACACATTGTGGGGTATAAAACAATGTAAATAAACAAAAATACAGGCACTGACTGTATTAGATAATACACATCTGATGCCATTTTTGTACCTCCATCTTGATATCATCCCAGATGACGCAGTGGCCTCTGTTTTCAGCAAAGTTGTATGGCCATTGTTAATATGAATTCACTTTAATTATCTTCTTAAAACTCCCAGTCTATCTTCACCAAAAAAAAGAGTAAGATGCCAGTCATCCCAAAACAAAATCTCCATAGTTTGATCAACAAAGGTTTCATGTAGGCTCCCTGAAGGATATTGTCTACCTACTAGTACCTGCAGTATAACAAGGCATTGCCCTTTGCAACCTCTGCTCTCCCTAAGGGCAGGGCAAAAGGAATATGGATAAGTATCCTTAGAACCCCTTTTGTGTGCTAAAACTTTGACAGCCTTTGAATCCAAGTCAAAATTATTACCTTCACCATCTGATCAGTGGGACAGGGTACCATGCAATATTTTCTCAACTCCCATGCAGAAAATTGAATGGGTAGCTACTAAGGATGCAGTTCATGTGTATGTAAGCTCAAAGGTACATTATGCTCTTGCCTGACAGGATTATTGTATGTTATTTGTCAGTTAGCTGTTATGAAGTTGCCTGGTTGCTGCAGAGAACATTACTGATTCACTGGGTTGAATGTGCAGTCCCAAGTTCTTGCTCAGCTTTTGGTTTGGCTGTGCCCCCCTTGCTTCCCTGTGACGATTCAGCCAAATGTGCTTCTGCTTCCTGAAATGTTCAGAATGTTCACTGTGTAACAACCCATTCTTGCAAAGAAACCTGTCTATTAGCAATTTCTTCTGGAAAAGGTCAAGTCATTATTTCTTATTCAACTAGAAAGGAGTCTACTGTTATGCGATTTACTGAAAAAGAACAATCGTTAGGCAAGAAAAATGGACTAGACATGTTGAAAAGGGACTAAATTATTACATTGTACATGTGGATATTATACTGCCTGGTATGTTACAATAAGTTAGAACTAGGCATTCCTCTGTCTGAAAGCAGAGATGCCTGTGTTATACACCTGATGGCTGTGCTGACAATGCGTCAAGGAAAAGACTGCTGAAGTAACTCTATATGTGTTGGTTCAGTCAGACATTTGATAGATGAGTGGCTTTCTATAACCTATTTTATTCAAATAAGAGGGTCCTTTCAAATCTTACCAGATATAGAAAGAATTTTATCCTCTTACGGCCCGTTTCTGCTATGCAACCAGAATTCAAAAAAGTGTCACCTGTCACAGGCTTTGTGAAATCCTTCATACATCAGCAACAGAAGCAGGAGAAAGAGCCCAGAGAGAAAGGCTTGTCAGCAGGAGACATAGTAGTGCTGTAGAAGTTTTGAAGACAGTTGTTATCTTTGAGCACACACAGTTGGGCATGATGTCCCTTGGGGCAAAATGCTGCAGATGTAGCATGGAAGAGCCAAGAACTGGAGAAGTGTAAATGTGTTTCAAAGCACCTTTAGGGTCCTGTGCCTTGTTAGGCAAATTCATGGATCTATGCAAACCAGTCTGTAAACCATAAGTTAGCATTCGTTCATCTGAAAAGTACCTGTTTAGTAGTCTTGCTCAGTTTAAACTTACGTGTGCTTGAACAACCGAGCTTGTCTCTGTTATTTCCTAACTTCTGAGAATTTGGTTTTGTTCATTTGAAAACAGCATACAAGTGAATGACGAGTTGTGACTGACTACCTAGATCATCTTTGGCAGACCATCTAAGTTTTTCCTCCAGGTTTTGCATCCATAAATTAAAGACATTTATATTTTAAGCTGTGATTAGTATATTGAAACAATTAATGACTTTTAATTATTTAATAAATAAAGGAAAATTGTCCAGCCCATGAATTACAAGTATTCCTTTATTCCTAGTGTCCTAACTTTTGAAAAATCATCAAGCTGGCAATTAGGTAGTGCTTTTGTCATAAAGGTTGCCTTCTTTCAGTAATCTGTTGGCCATAGATCATACGCATTAGGAACCAGTGAATATAACCAATCTTTTTTTTCTACTACTGCCCTTATTTCTGCAGTACGTACGAGTGTCTTTTGACACAAAGCCTGACCTTCTTCTGCATCTGATGACTAAAGAGTGGCAGCTTGAGCTCCCTAAACTTCTCATCTCTGTGCATGGGGGCCTTCAGAATTTTGAACTTCAGCCAAAACTCAAGCAAGTCTTTGGAAAAGGCCTCATTAAGGCTGCTATGACAACTGGAGCGTGGATATTCACTGGAGGAGTAAACACAGGTAACAGCAACATTGAAATGAAAGCACAATGGCATCTTAGAGATTTAATCACAGCAAAAAATTAGGACTGATGAGATTAAGAAGCCATTCCATGTGTTATTTTGTTAGTGTTGGCTGTACTACGTGCAAACAAGAAAATGCCAAGTTCATACCAGCCTGGCAGCTACCGGGGAATAAAAGGTTTGCTGAAGCATGAAAAGCACACTGGGGAGCCGAAAATAAAGCCTCCTGTGAGGCAATTATATTAGTATATTGCCAGTGAAGACTTAGTAAGATCCACAGTGAGCTACAGAGAGGGACTGCCAGCCAGAAACGGAAGAAGTCAAACTCTTATTACCTAAAATTGAAAACATTTTCATCCAGAAAATACTTTATTTTATCTTGTAAGATGATTTGAAGCATGAAAGGGAAAAAGGTTCTGGTTTGTGGATGTGGTGGAAAACTTTATTGTAATAAGTATCACTTTTTCCTTTCTTGTAGACAGCTTGACCTAATTTTTTTTTGTAACTCCTGCGGCAGGAGCGATAACATCGCTCTTTCTATTAAAAGTTAACATCTGTAACATACCATATGGATGTCCTAATGACCCGAGATGGTAGCTAGCCAGCGCTGCTGGGAGACAACATGTAAGCTTTGGGAATAAGCTGCAAAACATAGTTCCCCAGATAAAAAAGTTGGGCAGTGGCTTCCCAGTTACCTTCCCTGAAGGAGGCTGAAAGGAGGAGAGAGTCGGAAAAATCAAAGAGTTCTGCTAGAGATATATGCAAAAGGTTTTTGAGCTAGGACATGTACTTGTAAATTCTTATGTCATTCTCATTTGCTGCAGTAACAAAAGTATAATTTATTACTGTAGTAATCCCACAGAGTGTATCCTCTTACTGTCTGTGGAAAACATTGTAATCACTCTATCATGTGTTAATTTTAGTGCATTGTTGATCAGCTCCTCCATATTTGAATATGAATGCTTGATAGGAATCTTGGGCTTTTTAGTTTCCACAGCACATCAAATCTAAAACAATATTCAGTTTTATCACAGTAGCAGTACAAATAGTAAAGAAGAGGCATAGTTTCTGGAGTGTTAGACAAATAAATAGACAGACTCACATGTATATACCATCCCCCACATCTCTGCAGAACAAGGGAGAAAATAAGGTTAAATGTTAACCTGTGTACTGTGGTGATAATAGTTATGTGAGTTGCCAGACACTCTTGTACTGAGAATGGCAAAGACAGATATAAATTTTAAGTTAAGAGCAGATTAGAAAACTGCAGATATTGTACAGTCATTGCAGAGGATTACCACAGGAACTGTAGAAATCAAACTACAGAAATTTTATAAACAAGTACTGAATATAACAGCTGCATTTGGCGAATGCATAACTGCTTCATACCATTTTTCCAATTGTCATAGCTGCAAATGCCAAAACAGTACAAATGAACCAGGAAAGTCAATATAATTACTATTTAAAACAGTTTGGGTTTTTTTTCTGTAATCAAAAATTACCTAGACAAAACAATGTCATTCAAGTTGCTGTGGGTTATATTAAAAACATACAATTCCAGAAATAGTTCTGCATTATCGTTTACCTCTCATCCTGGTTTTGATTTCTGGAGCAAATCAGTTATTTGCTCCAGGGCTGGGTTTTCAGACTGAGTAGGTGAAAATTAAGTGTTTTACCTTTGTGTGAATTTCTACAAACTGAGAATTTCTGAGTACACTTCGTTCTGCTGATGATGAATTTTTAAATCAGCTTGATCTTAAGGAAAAGTTTAATTGAAAAATCCTGCAACACTGCTGTTGGACTGAGAATCAGTGATGTGACAGGCATGGTGCATACTTGGCTATAACCATGACTGTTGAACGACTTTAACAAGTTGTTCTGAATATTCATGTCATGCCAAAAGTTGATTATTCTAGATAGCAGAACTTTTCCATCTAGGCAGATTTTCTGCTTTGAATTATTTGGGTTGCCGGATCATAGCTTAATTCATAGCTGATTGCAGGCACAGGGTTTTTTTTCTTTTCCATCACAGGGAGGAAATTAGCCTCCAGCACTTCGAGGATTTGTTAGGTTGTGGGGTTTTTTTCTTACATGGTTCATTTACGGTGCAGAAAAACTATAACTAAAATCACATCTATTGTGTGACTGTAGCAATTCCAGTCCAGTCATCTTGAAATTGTGGAATCTGAACAAGAAGCAAACACAGAAACTGAGTAACAGATAACAACTGTAGCAAATCCACAGGTCTGCTTCAGTACAGCCACATCACAAAAATAGTTACTGATACACAGGTAAAAAATCATTTTATGAAAAGGAAGTAGGAATAGCATTTGTCCTCTGCACAGAGACACCACTGAAACACTGATGAAGCTGGCCTAAAACATACAAGGAGCATTATCGGAAAGCACTTGGAAGAATACTGGGGAGCAGTCATTCTCTCTGTACTAAGTTCTGCTTTCTCACTGATCCCCAAGGGTTTTTTAAATACTCTGCTGAAAGGTACCTCAGGTGACTGAGTTTGTCTGGAAAGAATGGTAGAATAGCTCACCACAGAGTAGTGTAATGATGTTTTCACATTTCCATCCTTTATTCAGACAGAAGGGAATATTTGCATGCAAGCTACACTTTTTGGTGGGTTTGGGAGGGAGTTTTTTGATTCCTGTGTTTCTTTCTATGCTTGGGAAGGATGCAAATGCTTGCATGCACACATTTTTGAACACAAGTGCAGATAAACAAGTTACAGTCAGCTGTCAACATTTCCATTCTTATGGCTAGAGCTGTGTAATTTTGTTCTTGCTACATCTTTTAATATTTTTTATTAGATAAAATGGATTTACAGCAGTCCTGTAATAATAAACAATAAGATATATTAATAGCTTTACTTAATTGTAAGTGTCTGCATAAGTGTTCCCTAAAAAAAAAATTCTATACTAAATCCATACCATAATGAACAAAAAAGATATTAATTTCTATTTTATGCTGTTTCTTTCCCAGGAGTCATTCGGCATGTTGGAGATGCGCTGAAAGATCATGCCTCAAAATCTCGAGGGAAGATCTGCACCATTGGTATAGCTCCCTGGGGCATTGTGGAAAATCAAGAGGATCTAATTGGCAAAGATGTAAGCCCTATATGGACGTAAATCACCTCCAATATACATAAATCTTCTAGGTTTTTTTTTCCTTTCCTCTCCATCCCTCACTTAGCAATTCCTCATAGAATCAATGTCTGCAGCAAAAGATCAATACATACACAGGTTTTCCATTATGGTTGATAGCAGTTTTGGCATGGCAACAACAAAAATTCATGCACCGTACATGCTTTAAAAATAAATTATAAAGAAATTTAATTAAATGATATTCTGGAAAATATACTACAGTTTTATCCTTAGAACACAACGAACCCTGAAATGTGCCTGAGGAAACAGTGATTGCAAAGCTTGAAGTCTGATTTATTTTGAAGCAATACTATGATGCATTGGTTAAATTCAGAACTGCAGACTATCCCCCTTATAATATACTCCATCCTATATATCTTTATTGCTGCAATTGTGAAGAGTCTTATAAATGTATTGGGCATGAGATCATGCGTTAAAGAATCATTACTTCAGTCACCTTCTGAAGAGGAGAGTTGTTATTTCTTGTACTTTTTCACATCATTCTTCTCTTTTAAACCTATATTGTCACTCAGAAAGAGTAACCCTCTGATTTAAAATACATTAATAGTTTACTTACACTGATTACGAAAGTTTCCTGAAGCTTTTCTGAGCCCTTTCATCTTCCTCACCTCTGACTCATTCCCAAGCAATCTGCCTAAGAACCAGTGGCTAACTTTGAGTGGAGAAGAGATATTATTAATGTTTTTCTTATCTGCATTACTCTAAACAATTTTTCTCTGTATGCTTGTCCATTAAGAAGTTGGGGAGGGGAAGAAGATTCAATTATCAGTTAGGTCAGAAGGAATTACAATGAGTATGGAGAAATTGATCCAACTGGAATTCATTGCAATTCACTATTAAAGTATAGCCATTAGGGGGAATTGTATTAGCATGTTTTTGTACTCTAATACCACCAGCCCTTGTATAATAGGGTTACCAATACATACAAGCAAGGCGGATGGGACTCTGCAGCAGTAATTCTGACTTACTAATGAACTCTCCTTGAGATGCAGCACAAAAAATGACTAACAGAAATAGCTAATCACAAAGACGAGGCATGTCTTGTTAAAGTATAATGTACATATACATTTCAAATAAGCAGTCTTTACTGACTATGCATGGAGCTCCAGAAGGGTTGCAAGAAGAAAGAAGGCCAGAAAGGACATCAAATTAGTCATTAATTTTGGGACATTGTTATTCCTCTGTTAGTTATTTCTACCTGTTGGAAAGCTACCTACCTCTGTTCCCAGCTAGTTACTACCTGTTAAAGGAGCTCTGGAGCCTCCTTTTACAGAAAGAGCTGAAGAAAGAAGTTGGTTTCCCAGCTCTTCCAGCCAACTGGAACAGCTCCCCCCTGATTTCTGATTTCTTTAAGAGACTTTTTCCTTTAAATATCCTTCCAATTTAACAGGAAACCAAAAAGTTGTATGCTCTTTTTTTTTGAAAAGAAAAGCTTTGTGGTAAATCAAAAAATGTTAATTCTTAGCTTGATCATGAGACAGACTGTGAAAAAAGTTTACAAAAAAAGTAAAGAAAAAAAAAATTGGGTAGTCTTCCATTAATGCAGCCACAATTATACTTGTAGGATTACAATTACAGGGTCATCACTAAGGACAAAATCATTCCAAAACTTATCTCTGCTAGATGAAATTGAAATTTTTCCTCCAAACCTCCTGGCCCCTAGTATTTTCATAAAATGTTTGATCAATAGCATGATGCAATGCTGAAGCACTTTTGGTTTTATCCATCTGTAATGCACATGTAATGATACTGCTTTCTGCTTACCAATATTGAATTTCATCTTCCGTTTTATTGCCTAGTCAGGCTGCTTTATGAATAATTTCTTTAACACTTTGTAGTCCACTGAAAGATCTGTAAGCTTTTCACACTCTTATTAAGCCCAAAACCCTTACAACTGTGTAGAACAGAACATGACCCAACTTGAGGTAGGCCACTTATGTCACTAAGTCTTCTTAGTAACACTCAGTCTTGCAACTGAGCGCAATTTGCAAAAATTAACTTTTCCTTCTTACTGTTTTCCCTCCCTTCCCCCCAGCTTTTCCCAGTTACTAATCCCTCAAAGGACGTTCCCTCTTATCCAATGTGTGCAGTTGCTTTAGAAGCATTTGGTGAGAAAGCTTTTTTGAAAGCTTTTTTGAAAATCAAAGTGTACTGTATTGACTGGCTCATTAGAGGTGAATGCTGTGAAATGAACCAAGAAGGGGAAATATAAATAGTGCCATAAGCATGTAAAATGAGTCATCATTAAGCAAGAAACAAAGGCCACAAAGGATTATGCAGGGGGGAAAAAAGTCAACCAATAGTAAAAGGCCTGTTGTACTCTGGCATCAATGTGACTTTATGCCTGTATGCACTATGTCTAGTTAAATTATGGTCAGAACTGAAGAGATTGTCAAAACATACCCTTCCAGAATCAGATAGATACAGGAAATTGTCTCAGTCATGGGATTTGGGGACAGGGAGCAGGGGGAGTTATTGTCATTGCACATGCCCCAGTGTATGTTGCCTCTGTGCCTCGTGGCAAGTCAAGTGTGCTCAGCAGAGCTGTGCCTCTGCTCATGCTCCAGCCCTTACCTGGCCTGTATGGACCTTGAAGTCATAGCTGGGGAGTTTTACATTTACCAGTCCATCCAAATCAGTCAGCTCTTGGGAATCCCAAGGTCTTTCCTCAGAGCCGTAAAGAGAACTGGCCAAGTTAAGCCAATTGCTGTTGTTTGCTATTTGTTGTACTGTGACAGTTAAAGATCGCTAAAGAGACTTGTCTTATGCCAGTACTGTAAAAGCAATATAGTAGAAAATAGTGCCCCTCTTAACACACTTAGATTCTAATTTAAAAACAAAACATGCAAGGGAAAGGTAGTCAGTTGCCTTATTTCCAGTTTTCTAATAGAACTGAGAAAGTAAGGTTGCTTGGTGAGTCTTATAGAAAACTCAGATTTTAAACAAGGTTCTCCCTACATACAGAGCCATTCTTCCTTTTAAAAGAGTGCACTTTGTGAGTCTTCATATCATAGACATCTTTCCTTTCAGAGTCTGTTCAGTCCTCATTTGGGTTTAATTCCTCATCACCTCAGTAGGAACAGTGCCTGGATTCCAAAGAGAACACTGATTTTAGTACTTTCCTTTCATTCAATATAATAATTCAAATAAGTCTCATTTGTAATCCAAAGAAGCTAGTACCTGAGACTTAAATAAAAGTATGCTTTTATTGTGCAACTCAGTGAAAAAGACATTTCCATCATACTCTGATATGTCATTGATCAGTCAAGAAGCTGTAGTATACAGCCTACTAACTTAAACAGAACACATTTTTTGCTAATTAAAGTTTTGAGAGAAAAGAAAGAAAACAAAACCCAAACTTTTTCTTACTGAACTAATCGAAACAAAAATTGAGCTTCTGTGCTGCTACGCTGAATCACAACAAAACCTATGATGCCCACAATTCCATGCCTGGTGTATAAATGCTTCCATACTTGAATCTAGTAGGTTGACATAAAGGGAAATTCCTAATTTCTCTCCAAATTTATTGGGTTTTATTTGTCTCACTTAGAGTACTGTTATAGGCATGGATTATAGTGTGTTTCTCTCCCTGTGTTACTTCATTGATCTTTCAGTTACGCTCAACAACTAGAGTGGCAAAATTGAAGCTCAGCAGAAATTTTGGATAAAGTAGAATACTTATTATTTTTAACAAAAGCTTTAGCCAGTGAAAAGGAAGCAATAGTGGCTGACTTTTATAATTTAGTGCAGCAGAACACACAACCGAAAATATAAATCTCTGTAGATGTGCATAAAAGTGCTACATAAAAGCAAAAAGTGTTTTCATAAAGAAAACTACTTTCTCACTGCAAATTTGTATCTAAATAACAAATATAACTAATATAACTAATATACATTATGTGTAGCATATCTATACTATAATAGATTATCATACGTATCTTATTTATCTTATATACATTTTTAATATATACATCTCAACCATTTTCATGCACACTGTGTTCCAGAATAAATTACATTTTTTACTTCCTAGAACTCAAATGTTGGCATCACAATCACTGCCAGTTGTAGATGTTCTATATGGACTTCATGAACGACAAACTCCTCTTCTTTTGTACTGCTCAGAATATTCAGAAAAAATTATTTAATAAAATTCAAGCAATGAGTATGCTGCTACTTGAAACCTACTCACCCATATAGCTGAAATTGTAAAAATAAGGAGTAAATATTGTCCCTTTTTATACAAAAGCTAAATTTATATTGGACTAAACAGAAGTTGAATCTAAATATCCTTAGATATTTCTTTTGTTAAAAGTTAAAGCCTGGCTTTTTTAGGCTGTTTCTAGATCATGCTTCTAATTTATTGAACACTGTGGTTTTGGAATAACCAATTTTTATATTAGTACAGTTGCAGAATTTTATAACAATAACTGGAGGTTAAAACATGTCATCAGCAAAGTTTTCTCTGGGATGCTCAAGTGGTACTCACAGTAGAACTCCGCAGTCTTGCTCTGCTTACTCAGGTATGTCTCAGCGTTTTCCAGTATCAATTTGGATGGTGAAATAGGGAGGAAATGTAAAACTGGAAGGCTGTATGCACTTTGAAGGGCAGAGTCACAATGGAGAAGTTAGAAGCCAGCCTGCCAAGGAACATGAACTTCTCAAAATCCCTGTACAATAACGACTAGACAACTTCTTCAGGAAAGGTGGGGACCTTCCACATTGTAGTGGGTCACTGGGAAATTAATAATAGTTAACCACTTGATTACATCATAACTCAATGCTGTTTCAGAAGAATTAGTATTATGGCTTTCAGAAGAATGAGTATTATGCTGTAATTTAGTCATAGGACTGATACACAGCCTTGGGAGTTTTATGTCACTAGGCACAAGTGAGGCCAATGCCTAGTTATAAGACAAGTCAAGGAAAGAAGAGTAAAGAACTTGAATGTTTACTATATATCACAGCTGAAGTAACTGTGAAGGGCTTATTTTCATGCCCAGTCCCTTCTCCCTGATGCCATCTTTAAATGCTTCATTATAAAGGATTTCACTCTGCCCATACAAAGTCCCCTACCTACCTCCTTGAGATTACCAAGGGTTTTCTAAAACAGAAAAAGAGTTCACTCAGGAATTAGCATCATCTTAAGAATTAGTGTCTCCTTATCATTCATATATATATGAAAAAACCCATATAGCTGTCAAGCTTGATATTTATGTAGCCAGAACTCACTGTTTTAAACCACAGTCTGTAAAACACATTCCAGTGAGTCTTGTCAGAAAGACCAGTGCTTACATTACCTGTTCCATATGTGTGTACCACACAACACATATATCAGACTATCCAGATGGACTACACATTTCCTTTTCATTCTTTCTTATAACATAATCTGAATAACAACATTAGCTCATATCATGAGATTGCTTCCTCCTGTCTCTAATGCTTCTTTGTTTTTACAGTGTCAGAAAGATTATATTTTCCTTTAATTATTTTCTGCAGGTTGCAGAATAATGATAGAAGTCACAAATCTCGGGCAACTGATTAGGAGCTGTATATTACTTTATTGTTGTTCGACTTGTTGATACCAATTTTGGTTTATTTTTGGTAAATATTTTGCAATTATCCTTCAAGAAACACGTTACTCTTTGAGAATAAATGGAATTGCTGAATCATGCAATTGATGAATTAATGAAAAAAAAACATTAAAAATAACCATAAATATTTAGTTCAAAAGTTTGTTTCAGTATAACTTTTATCCAAAGTATCAGAGCCTCCTTGCAGGCCAGATCAGGAAATAATTGCTCTAAGGAAACACGTAAGGAAAAGAGATTCAGATCTCTCATTGCAAACTACAAGATGGGAAGTATGTCCGGGGCGAAGCTGGGTGTTGCAATATTTTTAACGTATACAGAGGATTTGGACCATGATGCTTCCAGGATCCTCTAAATTGCACCAGGAACTACTCTGTTCCCTGGTGTACCCCAGAACAGTGAGGCTGCAGAGAAGGCTTCATTTGAACAACAGCTAATACTTTTTGAGAAGCAAAGCTTGTATCTCTTTTTCGGCCACTACTCTGAACACACTAAGTTTTTTGTAAATTATTTGCCTTCACCCAGGCTGCTCGGATTCATGCATTAGATCTCATGACGCATGCATGCTCATTGTCCATGATGAGTTACCCTGAGCGATTTTTCAAGTGCTGTCAATATGTTGAGTGTCATGTGTCCATGGGGAATGTAAACAGAGTATAACAGTGCTTTTAATTCAAGCTTGCTGACACCTCGGGGTGCAAAGGCAACTGCTGGAGTTAGCTGTGCTCCTCACCTCTTGACAGAATGCCCTCAGCCCATGCAGTGTGAGCACTGCTACACAGCATGACTGCTGTCTCATTCATTAACCTGTATTCACAGAGGTTGTGTTGAGCATAAATGCTTCCTTTCAGCTCTGAAGAAGAAGATGCCAGGCGACATTATTCCATCTTCTCAATGCAGAAAGAGGCTGGGAAGACATTAAAGGCCAAGTTTTCCCACACTTTTAATCTGCCTGTCAAGTATAAGGGATTGAAAAAACCAAAAGATTGATGGGAACTGCAAGAATGAGAAATTGAAAATTTGCTGAGTGTTGTGGAAGAGCAATTCACCTCAAGGAAACAGCCTCAAACCCTAGGATTTTCTTGCCTTCCTGAAGATTTTTCAGAAATCAGAAAAAAGAGTCTGAAAGTGTGGTTTGTGAATTTTATTATTTAAAAAAATATATTTCAGCTGTTGAGCTGTGCATGCTGTCAACAGTTCAATTGAAAATAATTGTATTCTCATTTCCACATCTACAAAATTTATTAACAAAATGATTCACTTTGTAGCTAAAGAGGAGACACAGAACCAAAGCGTAGCCTTCTTATTTGCCCTGCAGCAGCATTGCTAAGTCACTGTGTCACGCCTGAGGTGCTTCAGCTCACTAGAACTGCAGATCAAGCTAAACTTTTAGAAACTATTGAGCTGTGGCTCTCAGGGGCAAACCACAAGCTGTCAGTAGAACTGCATGCACAGCAGCTTGTAATCATACAGTGAACAGCAAACTCAAGTCATGCCTCTTCTATCAGGTCTTATTGGCCTGTGCCCTCTATATAGTGAGAGATGAGGCAGGTATCAGTTTAAAAGATCTGTAACTGTTTTCGTTTGGTTTTATTTGATTCTTAGGTCTGTGAGATAGAACCTTCATTTTCTTTCTGACTGTGACATGGGACACATGGTCTCTGTGTCTGTAGAAGCTAGTTAATTAACCTACTCCAGCAACATATTGATATTTGATAAGCTACACATGCCTGTAGGTTAAATGCTTTATGAATGGGGCACCAAAAGAAACAGTATAGAAGAAACCTGAGCCAAAGCTATCACTTCTTCTTACAGTGGAGTGCACTGCCTTGCTGTTGTCCAGCTGCCCACTTGGTCTTCTCAGACCTATTTCCTCCCTTTTGCAGGATAAATAGGTTACCGAATACCTTCTGTGTGACAGTTTATAACAGCAAAAGAAGTCTATGGGTGTCCCCCTGTCTTCTAAGAGTTGACCAAAGTGCTGCAAGCATCCACAAAATAGTAGAGATAGATATTTCTGGCCAAAGCATTACTAATGCATATTATTTATAAAGATTTATGTCTCAATTAGAAAGCTCTTTAGAACAACAAAAAGGGAGAGAAGCTTAAGAAGAAATTAATAAGGTAATATATTTCTGTCTGCAAGAATTTTTGTCAAAACTTGAGCATACAATTTTGTGTATTAAAAAGCACAACATTTTATTAGATTTGCAAAAATGAACAATGCCAGACCTGCGACGAAAATTCCTTGCAGACAAAGTATAGCCCAGCTGAGTTTTGCAACAAGTCACTTCAGCATTTCTTCAGCTAGGACAAAATTTTAGCTATTTTCAGGAGTTTTGTCTTTCCAAAAAGACAAGACACACATAAACCATGCAGAAGAGTTTCTCCTGATGGAAACAAATCCAATGAAGTGATCTTTAAGGTCCTTTTCAACCCAGGCCTTTCTATGAAGTGCAGCAAACTCCATTGAATAGAAATTTTCTAAAGCTCTTGAACACAAGAATGGGCCACAATTTTTTTCCAAGCAAATTTAAAATGTGGTGTAATATCATGTGTATACCTCTCCAAGCATGGAACTCACCTGTACTGGGGTGTGGGGTGGCTCTGAATGAGCTAGAACTGGGGACATGGTGCTGGGTGGGGTCTGTGAAGGAAGAATCAAAGATTTCAATAAGGTGAGGTGAGGATTTACAGCAATACTACTGAGAGACACCAGTAGACAGTGTTTACAGTCTGTGTGTGGTCACACAGACTTTGGAGGACTGACCATTAGCTGGACTTCACACTGAAGCAGTGGTCATTGATGCCACTGAAACAGATTACCATGAAAAACCCTTTAAGCAGTGTCTGCATCTAGACAGTCAGTGTTCACAAGAGGTGGCCACACTGGTTTAACTGCTAGGATTGTTTTCTACTTTACACACAGAAGACGGCAGTGCTCGAGTGCAACACTTCAAACAGTTTTGAACTTTTTTCTTTTGTATCATCTCATCAGCTGGTATTTTCTAATTGATTTAGTTCAGAGGGTCTTTTCTGCTTAGTACTCTTTTTTTTTCCTCTGTCTCTAAAATGCAGGTAGTCCGACCCTACCAGACGATGTCCAATCCAATGAGTAAGTTAACAGTGCTCAACAGTATGCATTCTCACTTTATTTTGGCTGACAATGGCACTACTGGCAAATATGGAGCAGAGGTGAAACTTCGTAGACAGCTGGAAAAGCACATTTCACTTCAGAAGATAAATACAAGTGAGTAACATTTTGCTTGTATTATTTCAATAATTTAAATTATATCAAAGACACTATGAGTTTAAACAGGCAATAAAGTTTGTATATTTTGGGGAGTAGTTCTACTGTCTAAAATGGTGAGAAAATAATGGTGCACAAATAAATTACTACAAATAATTTTATTTTAGAGTACTGTGGGTAAGGGTAGAGAACAAATAGCTGAATTTGTTTCTGATAAGTTTCAAACAATATCTGTCAAGGCTCTTCAGGTTCAGCTTAGGTCTTTGGTACCCCTATCTCTTTAAAACTGTATACAATTCTGGTCCCCCTCATGTTGTGAAGAATACAGTCAAATTAGTGAAGGTGGAGAAAAGGGTGACAAAAAGTAAGGCAGAGCTTTTTATGGTAAAGCTACCTTAAGGAATGAAAACAGAGCTCATTTTTCAGAAGAGATCATATGCACAGCCTCTCTGCTCATAACTCTCTGTAAACATGCAATTTTGAGGCCAGGAATGGTGGCAGTTTTTGTGATATAGGGACTTGAAACTGGAGTGAGACTAGGAGATACATTTAGACTCAGACATCAGACAACGTGAATTACAAGCAATGCGGTGAGCGTAGACTAGCATGTTGGTCGTGCTTGATAAAGCTTTCTGTATGATGTCTGTGCTTAAATTAAAATGATGTGCTACTTACACCTTTCATCACTGTGTAAACTACACACACTACAGGCTTATTGTTTTTATGGTATCAGAGTATATATTGCTTTTTCTCAGATAGCAGTGTGTAGGTGTCCTGGGTTAGGTGTAGGAGCTGGAGGCCATTGTGCAACAGAACAGCTATGACCTAGTGGCCATCACAGAAACCTGGTGGGACAAGTCTCATAGCTGGAGTGCTGCAATGGACGGCTATAAGCTCTTCAGAAGGGATAGGCAAGGAAGGAGAGGAGGTGGGGTGGCTCTATATGTTAGGGAGTGTTTTGATTGTATAGAAATTGGGGATTGTGATGATAAGTTGGAATGCTTATGGGCAAGAATGAGGGGAAGGGCTAACAAGGCTGATATCCTGCTGGAAGTGTGTCATAGGCCACCCTCCCAGCAGGAGGAAGCAGATGAGGCATCTATCAGCAGCTGGCAAAAGTCTCGTGATCGCTCCCCCTTGTTCTT